CGGAAAACAATAAAAATCTTAAACTATACCAACCTCCTACTTTGAAGAATGCTCATGAATTAAAAACCGAAACGTCGGTTGTGGTGAATTATGTGATTGGTCATATTATTTTTGTGCGTTTATTAATAAACACCGATTTATGCTTAATGTCAGTATCCTCGATAGAATAATGTGAAACACAAATCTGCATTTTGGGCAAGTAGAGCAAGCAGATTTGCAGGATTTTCTTCACCGACAACGTTTGTTGTTCAAAAACAGTTGTTCTCTGATTGCTGCATTATTCTTTGTCATCGCTTCGCGAATACTTTGTGTTGTATTTTTGCAGTTATTAATTATTGCAGTGTTTATTATACTAATATTTTTGCAGCCATTCTGAGAAAAGCTGTTTATTCGTGTAAAATGCAATAGAGCCCACCTCTTGATTGAAAACGTACTTCTGATGTAGCTGATCTGAACAACAACTGACGTTTGCTATCATTCGTTGCCTTTGCCTTGAAGTAAATCCGTATGGTACCAGTCGAAACGTTAATAGCGACCTTCTGATCAGGCCATCATACTGAGTTTGTGTAAATAAACCGTTGTTTGTTGGATGTTACTTTTTACTGCCTTATTACTGATTGATGAAAAAGCGTTACAGCTTGTTTGCTGTAATTGTTGAAATGCTGTGACAGGTAGGTATACAGGAATGAGATATCGCGTATTCATAGCGCTCGCTAATAGGCGGAATTAATAAACTACCGATCTGTCATATGACCGCGACTTCAAACGAGAGACGACGTCGTTTTAAGTAAAGTTGTCCCCCTGGAGTGTCGATCTTCCTTCGCTTTCATGATTGGACTATTTTGGCGCCATTCTTTTCATGAAGTTGATCTTCGTATATCTGAAATCAGCTAGGAGGTGCCTCATCTTTTTTAATGGCAGTCTATTGCCATGTCGCAAGCCTGCATGTAGTCCCCTGTTTCCTTCCAGTAGAGTGGTACTCGTTTATCAACCTCAGAAAGAAGAGAGGTGACTGACCCTGGTCCTGGCTTTAGTTTGGGACTTATCGGTTCTGAGTTCGACGCTGCACCCCTCGAGTAACCCAGGCCTAAAGCAATGTGTGGTATATTTTTTGCTGTAGGGAATTCTTGAATAAGACAGTGATTGCCATCGAACGGAACCAAAACAGATCTCTTGAACAACAACATACCACAGTCATTTTAGACCAGCATGTGAATGAAGGCAGGTTTGGAAATATTCTAAGTGGTAACGGCATTTTTTTCAAGACTTATCTGTCGCATGTTAGCAAAATTAAAAGATTTCGGCTTATGAACTTTTCGTCGTTATGTCTCATTTTTAGGAATGGGCCACAGCGTCAAGGTTGCGGAGATGAAAGCCGCTGAAGAAGCACTGAAAGTTTGCACCGAACTTTTTCCTCATCTGGTACGTCAGCGTAGCTTCATCGAACGTCGTTTTAAGTTGGACTTGCCAACTACAGTCGAGGAAGAGGAAGCTACGGGTTCACCTGCTTCAGAGCCGGAAAATAGCTGACCCCTGCGTGCCAGCTGTGATACGGTTTCTAAAACGTTATGCTTCTACTTAGTTTGAACAGTAAATTTTTCTCCATGTCGCTTATTTTTTTTATAATGGAAGTGGTTCCATTATTCTTGTGATGATACTTTTTTAATACGCCTCTTATGGGTACATTATATCTGTTTTTCGTTGTTGATTCATACATTTTTATCCAGTTATTTCATATATTAATTTTGATACATGATAAGTCCATTAGTTTTCATTAGTTATAAAGGAACGTGGGTGAAATAAATGCAGTTGCTTAATGTACTCTCTTTGCGTCCTCAAGTTATAATTTAGTTAACGTAAAAGGTTTTGGGATGCTTATTATATCGATGTGACTTAAATTCCTGCAAATACCTGTAATCATACCCTCATTTTCCGCTGGGACAATCACCAGCAGCTAGTATTTGAAGTCCTATTCTCAAATTATGTTTAAAAGAGTACAGAAAACCAGCAAGTTGTCCTTAGTTAATTCTTATTGGTTGTTATGTTATCTGTCAGGCAAACCGGAGCACGTGCGTCGCGTAGTTCTGCCACTTCACCTCTGATATGCTCTTCTACATTATTATCAACATGTTATTAATTTCTTGAGTGCTGCCAGTTGTTCAATGTAGGTAATTTCTTACAGAACGCCAAACAGATTTCTGACCCGTTTAGAAACGAATCTGTATCTCAGTCATAGGTCGAAGCAAATTTACTATGTTGTGCCATACCCCTGTGTAAGTTATTCTTTTTTAAGCATATCTGCTGTTGGTCTGTTCAAATGTTTATTGGCGTAGATTAGGCCTAAGCGAAATGGCATTGCTTTAATACTTTGCTCTTTTTAAATTTAATACTTACGCAGGCCAATTTGATCATGGTACTGCTTCGTTCCAGTGACCTGTTTTCGTGTCATTTTTAAGTCTGGCTTTCCGTCAGTGCTTTGTAAGGCAAAATGGTTTTTCTTAAGAATTTCTTGGACATTTTTGATTATATAGTAATGTTATTATAATTTTTGGTTCCGTTAACTTAAAGTCTGTTCGGTCTTATGAGCAGTGAACTTTGTACTTGATAATCGAAAGTTGAAGGTACTGTTTAAGCAGCTGATCATTCGGTTCTTTTTGTAAATTCTAAAACATGTACAAACATGTTTCCACGTTTAAAATTTTTAGTCATTGTTTCCTTCCATTGTTCTCGATTGAGTTTTTCCACGGTGGAAAACATCAACATGTCTCTAACGTTCGATCGCATGAAAACTATCCAAGCTGAAATGGAACGGTAAAAAGTTTGTCTTTTTGGCTTCTGTTACTACTGTTACGTTCCAGGTTTGAGAAGGAGATCTCTGGCCAAGTACCCTCTGCTCCCAGAATACCAAACAGTTAAGAATTTACGTGTAAATTTACGAGGCTCTTTAATCATCGACTGCATTTAGACATGTCACTGCAGTTTCTGCCTCATTCGCTTCAGCAACGCCCTCCTCCTGGTTTCCCTGGTGGTGCAATTCGTTTGCCAGGTCCTCCCATGATGCCAGGTTTGTTATATTAGCTTTTCTCTTGAATCGGCTCTTCATAAATGTTTTTCCTAGATATTTCTAATTGTACTGATAAAAATTTGCTAACAACAATTGTTTTTACTTGTTGTTCCAAAGGTAAATTTGTGAGTCATTCTCTACGGCAGTAAATCATAAATTGTCATCCCCCGAAAACTTCTAGGGCCTTCAAGGTTGCAGTACGACTTTTTCTTATACTCAGTGTAACGCATAGAGTCATTGTTTTTTGTGCCGGAATTTTCGGTGCCTTCTTGGTTGATCTGAAATATAATTTCGTAAAGTCAGAGAGCAGCGGGATGCTCATTGAGACCACATTGCTGGAAGCATTCAATTTGCTTGAACAGCCTCCGTCCCTGTTGCTCTTTAGAACATTTATGCCGTTGTAGTCAACATTGATACTTTTGTTTATCCTTAAATCATGAGTGCTAAATACCTTGCGATCGTGGCCTACTTAAATGGCCATCTAGAACAAAAGGCGGGACGACTGTGCTGTATATCTCTGATGTAATGGCCTGTGAGTCATCTGTCAGGAGAGCAGGTAGTTATAAAACAGGTTATAATTTTTGTTTTCCTCAACTGTTGTAGCAGCTCAATTGATAGTGTGCAAAAATTATCTAAACATTTGGGATCGAATTCCGGTCAGAGTCACTGGCGCTTCGAAGCATCATGAATATGACAGACTTCCTTTTTTATCCCTCAGACTAAGCGATAAACATCCAATCTCTATAGTGAGAAACTTTCGTCCCTTGTTTAAGTTTTCAAGCTGTGAAGCAGCAGCTTCGAAAGGAAGTATCAAGGGTTTGGCTCTGAGCACAACAGTTCCGGGTGCTCGGTGTCCTATTATTGCCCGTTAGCCTGCTTTCTTTGTAGTTTTGCCAAGAGATTCCGCTGACTGATCTCTTCTGTGCCGTTTTGTTTATATGCTGAGGGCACAAACTTTAATATCTGACAGTCTTGAAAAGTAATTGGTAGTATTGCTTCGTTCTGACTCTGAAACATTTGCGTTCAAGTGTTTTTCATTGAGCTACCTCCAGTGGATTTGCAGTTTTTCTGTATTTTGACTGTCATTAATCACATAGGTTCTAAGTTTATGTACGGTTTTCTGTGAGCCTGTTACCTTTCACCATAACATTCTTAACTGTGACTACGCTTGACACTGTCGGTCACGTTGCAAGGCCATGACGTTGGACGTAGATATGTAGCAGTCCAGCATTCTGGCTTTGCAGCACTAAAATTTTTTAAACAATTTAGTTGTTTGGTGAATGCTGTCATAGATGGGAAAGTTGATGATCAGAATTAGTACGAAACTTTAAGATGTAGGGAAGGACATTAACTTTCACGTATACAGGATTATCAAATGCATATTCACAGAGTATTTCCTACTATTTCTGAGGCAAATTCTGTACAAAAGTAAACTGATTATTTGTGAAAAGAATAGCGCTTTTAACAGAGGTGAAAGAGTTCTATCGACGTATATTATTCTTCATCATAGTGACAGTATTCAGTATTAATGGAAATACTTAATGCAAAATTTTTTTTCGTCATTAAAGGCTTTGCAGGAGCACCATCGCTTATGCCTCCACGAATTCC